AGCGTCCTATTGTCCTCCCATATATGGGATAGTTAGGATTAACCAACTAGTAGGTCCATAATTTTTTTTATCATCTTGAGCTCTATAACTAGTTCCACTATAATTAGACATGACATAAACGTAGACATCATAAGATTCATTTGAGTTAGTACTAGGTTTAGTTCCTATGTTCATAGATCCAAAACTGATTGCCATGTCCTCTTCAGATGGATTGGAGGTATGTGGGCAGTGGACTATGCATAGATTCTTCATTTTAATAAATTATAGGGTTTTGGGCAAGGATTAACTATTTTTGGGTTTCAATTTGCTTCAATTGCCTTCAAAACTTCTGATTTTTTTTTGGGTTATGTTATGGGTATCGGGAAATATCGGGGATATGGGCAAAATATCGGGAATATCGCACTTATCGGGGATATATCGTCGATACAGGGGAAGATATGGCCTTACCCCCCAATATCGATGTCGATAGTTGAAAATACCGATATATCGGCAGATATATCGGTGTATCGGCCGATATTTCAATCCTTGCTCACACGTATAGCGAACTTTCAAGCCTAACAAACACTCAGCCCCCGTTAGCACAACCCAATGTCCCTCCCCACCCACCCAACGTGCAGTTTTTCAGCACACCCATCCCCACCGCCAAAATTATGTCTTAATTCTAGCCCTACCTTCCCTACAATTTGGGAGAAAAAAAGAAAAAAAAAGAAAAAGAAGACATTATAATAATTTTCTCTTTGGGTTTTCGTAGGCGTGTTGGCTGTTGGGTTTTTGCCAAAGGAGGAGGTTGTGGGTAGGGCTAGAGCGAGTTGGAGGTGGGGATGAACAAATTAAATAAATTTTGAATTCTCCATCTTGGATCTTGAAATGTGCTGTTGCTGCCCTTTTTTATTTTCTTACTTTTGGGTAAATATATTTGCTGCTCAATTTTCATCTCTATTGAAGTTGGGTAAGTTGAAATGAAAGCGGCAATCTAGCGACTCAACTTACGGTAATCTGGACGAGGTGGAGTTTGGCTGTGTTGGAGAGGAGAGCAGCGGTGGGGGTGGGTTTGGGCCGGATCAATAGGGGGTTAAATCGGAGGAAGGTAGGATGGGGGTTGGCTGGTGGGATGATTAGGATCATGGGAGGTGGCTGGTGGTAGAACTAGCAGGTCATTTGTTTTGTTTTTAAAGTTTTAATATTTACTTTAAAAAACAGTTTAATTTTCTTTTTAATATAATATTATACCTTTTATTTAAAACTAGGTGGCTCTATTTTATTGGATTATGTGCTACATCAGCATTTTAACATAAAATTTGATGGAAGCTAATAGTAGGACCATTTTGATGAGTGAAAGGTAATTTTAAAGATGATTAATGTCACAAAAAAAGATAAAAGACAATTTCGCAAACCTCATGACCATTCGTGATAAAAAGCCTTGAGAATCAATAATGGGTTTGACATTATATGACTTGGTTTTAATTAGGAAACACTTCTTACACATAACCTCACCTCACGCTGGAAACAAATTTCAAAGACCACACTAAAACCAATACTTGTTTCCACACAAAAAATACACAATACACAACACAAACACTATTTGTTGCGCCAATAAATGATCGAGTTTACTCCATCTGGTTATGTTGTGGAACCTTTGTGAAGATTCCCTGTAGGAGATCAGAGTAGAGGGGCAGTAGGCTAAGAGCGAATATTGTAATCGGAATGCAAGTTGTTGCATATAATGGATAGGCCAAGTGTTTCAGTTGTCGATTAAGGAGAAACATATGCCCTGTGCAGAATGACACTAACGCGGAAGCTATAGATGCGAAGAGTGATGTTAAACCCAGCAGAAGTTTCCGAGGCAAGCTGTTGGAAAATTCTTGTACTTTGAATCGAGACGTAATAATCGAATAAAAGAGGGCCAGGGCAGTTAATGACAAGCAAAGAGAAAGCAGCGATGAGATGGTGAAGGCATTGAATGCTGGCTTGTCTTCTAAAACCGGTGAACCAGTTTTATCATTTAGTCCACCTGGTACAGTTGCTGATGTAGCAAATGAAACTGTTGCAATGAGCGCAGCAACCACAGAGCATGATTCGGAGGTTTTGGCAAGCCAATTACTGCCTTCTTTATGAAGATCTTTGTGTGAAGTTGCGAAGATCTGCTGTGGTGTCTCACCATCTTTGTTGTAGCGAACAGATGAATGAGGTGGCATGCGATTTTTGACAAACTGCATCCATGCACAATAAAATTTAGAGCATTTAAAACTTTATTCAAAGATTGATATCTGTTCAATTAATGACCTTATTAGTGTGAGTTAAGTCTCAATTGAAAACTTGACCCCAAAAAAAAAAAAAAGAAGTTTCAATTGAAAAAGAAACCATTTCACTATTGTATTATTCTTGATTTGTCTGAGTGATTGCAAATATATATATATATATATATACATATATAAAATTTTTCTCCTTTTAATGAGGGATTCCACAAATAATTTTAGGGAGTTTCACTAAAACACCTAAAATGGGGGTTGAAATTATAAAAAAACCCAAGCACTATTTAAACATATAAACACACCCAAAACCCATCATTACATACACTCAAAACCCATTTATAAACACACCCAAAAAGTTGACTTTGGGGTTGATTTTGGGTGTGTTTCTATGTTTAAATAGTGCTTGGGTTTTTTTATAAATACATATTTAGGATTAGGTTTATTTATAAATTTGTAATATTTTTATTCGAGAGACATTTATTAGGGTCCTTTAAGAATTTTTTTTTCAAGAATCAAAACCGTCTATTTGACAAATCTTCATTCATAACTCAAATCATGCAACTTCAAAATCATTAAGATATCTATTTGGGATCAATAAATGAGATGAACACGGTGCTTCATTAAAACAAATAAGATTATTGTTAGATATATACGTACCATGTACCACTTGAGTTCCCACTGCAATTGTAGTGCGGAACCAGGACTATTCCATGGCCGATGACTTCCAGATTTAGCAGCAAGATGCAATGCATTGTTACCATTGTTGTCCACCTGACGTAACAAGCTTGTGATTTGTTTCTTCCTGTCCACTAGTAAACTGTAAACATGGGGTTGCCTGTTCTCGACTGCCAACAGTGCAACATTCTTGTTTTCTGAGTCCACATCGTGAATAGCCACTGGAAATTTTTTTAGGATTTTCTCCACCATTTCGCTCACTCCCATCTTTGCTGCAATTAAAATTGGTGTCATCAGCTGCCTTTTCATTTTCTTATCTAATTCGGGCTTCTCTAATTCGGGAGGTTCAGGAACTTGTGTAATTTTTGATTCATCTGTTGGTCGAGTTTCTTTTGGACTTTGTGCATACATGTATGAAGAAGTATGGTCAAGCAATTTATTCATGACCTGAGTGGCCCATTTATGTTTCCTTTTGTCTTGGTGGATTTTCTGTATGCTCGAAATTCCTAGAAACACAAATGACATTAATTTGTCAATTAAAAGCACTCTATAGATATGTCCAATTGATTTTTCTCTATTACTTTAATTTTCTTTCAATTAGAACGATGCTTTTTATTTTATATATGGCCAAGGTTATTGGTATAAATAGATATATATGTATTATAAACGAAAGTGTAAATGTATTCACCCAAAAGTCCTCGCAGAAAACGATACATCTCCACCTGTTCCTCTCGTTGGTTTGTACCTGCAGTTGGAAAAACACCATTCATGTTTAGGTTTATTTTCTCTATTTAAGAGAGATGTATTTTACAGTTTAAGGGTTGTTTTCCATAGAAAACATCATGGAGACACCATTCATGAGAAGTGATAAGGTTCACTACAAGTTCAAAGGACATTATGGTTACCCAACTTACCTTGCATTGAGCTGTTCTTTTGTTGGGGATTCTCTGCATCTTCCTTTTTATTTCCTCTCTTAGCTAGACTTAGAGAAGAACATATCCTATTTCCCCATGATTTAGCTGGAAATGGAGAAACTATATTATATTAGACTTGTGGTGACGAAAAAGCAACGTATAAATTGGACAAGTGACTACCACTCACTTAATTCTTGAGATTCAGAATCCCTATTGTCGATATTCCTTCCTTTGTTGCCGCGGGGACAAATCTTTTTGTCAACTTTTTGCCCTTTTAGCTCTTCAGCAATCAAACCTGAGAAATGAAATGGAAAAACTTATTCGGACAGGAGTACAGTTGCAAGATATACCAAGGTCCCTACAGTTGCAAGATATAGAGTATACTTGTATTTTCTACTTTGGCGCCCCAACTTTACAATTCTAACTCTGCCCCTGAATTTACTGATTGTATGCCATACTTTTATTAGGGACTGAGTTTTTCTTCTGGAAAAATGAATAACACCCTTATAATGATCAAACAATTATTTATTTATTTATATTTATTTATTTATTTTCTCTACAAAAAAAAGGTACATGTATGATGTATACATACTTAAAAAGGTCATATATGATATATCATCATAGTTCTCTTTTTTGATAATTTTGTCCCCTGAAAGCCTAGTAATTACCAAGTGAGACATGAAACTGCCAAGTGCAAATGCATTAGCGTTGTATTTTTAATGAATTAAACATCCAAAAGCTTGATATCATAGACCAAAAAATAAAAAATAAAATCGATAGAGATATTCTTACATTGGTATATGAGACGATCGAACAGTCTAAGGCGGCTACTGCTTTTGAATGCTGATGGAGTATTGGCTAGAACATGCAGGGGAGATAAGCCACTGTGATTAATATATTTAACAAGTTGTGGGTGCCACAAAATGATCTGGAATGCCAAACCTATATATTTAAAAGGAAATTAATAATAAAAAAATAATAATAAGTTATAATATATGTATATATATATATATTTAAAAAGTAATAATAATGCTATTTGTGCTCCATCACACTGCTGAAGTCAACCCCATCAATGTATATGAGACCCACTTGTATCGAAATGTGGTCAACAATATGATGGTACAAATAGCAGTACTCTTTGAGAAGTGGGTATTCACTTACTGAAGTATTCACCGGACATAGCTGCATGGAGAATGGTATCACCATTCCTTGCTCTAAATGAATAGCATCTTTCTTCATCACAGTGACTATGAAGGCAAAGAAAAACTTTCTCATGCCCATTAAGAGCTGCCAAGAAGAGAGGGGTCTCATTCTCATTGTTGAGAGAAGACACGAGTTTGCGGTCTTTGGTGGCCATTGCATGACACGTTTCCACATCCCCCACTACAGCAGCTAAATGGAGAGGTGTGTTGCCTTTCTTGTTTTTTATTTGCAATATCCTGGATGCATCGTTTCCAATGATCCGTAACAAGTGCAGCACAATTTCTGTTTCGCCATCCGAAGCAGCGATATGTAGAGCGGTGTCCCCCATTTTGGTGATACGCATATCATGAACATTCTCTGATGATCTATAGACCCCCACAACTTCTTCCCACTGGCCGTTCATGGCATTATCGAACAGCTTATGGGCCAATTTATATAAAGCGGCATCTTCGGGGGTAATGTCCACTTCCTCCACGTCATCCTCTCTATGTATATCCAGCGCTTCCTCCTCTCTATATATATCCAGCGGTTCCTCCACTCCCTTCATGTCTGGCATCTTGCACTAGCTAGTCTAATGATTACGTGATATATATATATATATATATATATATATATATATATATATATAACAAAGAAAGCGTGTGTGACGCCACTGTATAGAATTGTTATATATACACTATACATTCATTTATAGTGTTTTTTATAATTAAGTTTTCTTTTAAAGATAAAAAATTGATTAACCATTTAATCATCATACCGTACGTACATATGATATTATTTTAGTGTTTTTATTCAAACCTCAGTGTTCATCCATTTATAATTCATTAGAGTTAAGTGGCTAGTATGAGATTTACAATTTTACTTATTTTTTGCAAGAATGATGTTGGAAGGGGGGGTCCTAAAAATAGATATATAGTTCGGATCACATTGCGTGTATATAAAAAAAAAATATATGCTAATGTTCATGCTGTATAAGTTATAGTTGTGCATGAATTGAAATTTGTTTTATACAATATTGTTCGCTATTACTTATGTTATGCTGATGGAGTAGAGGTTAATTATCTCCAACTAACTAACTTTGATTAATAACTAATTTCTATCTTTCTTTTTTTCTAGAAGCATCTGCTCAAAATAAAGAAAAAAAAAAAAGAAGGAAAATGGCAGAGAACTCGGGACAAAAGATATCTTGGATTGTGCTCATTCTTTATATATTTTCTGAGAAGGAAGGCATTAATTGCTTTGTTCCTTCCAACTCCAAGCGCGATAAAAGCCTTGTATACCAAAAAACAAAAACAGATAAAAGTAAAAGCAATCAAAAGCGAAATCGTAAAGCGCATGCTTGTCCATGGATGTATTTTTTTTGGTCTGAACTTGTCCATGGATGTTAGTTTCTCCATATACTTGGTTCTCCTGTCAAGTCAAGTTGATCGTACTTGGTTGTCTAAAGTAACAGGAAACTTCAAAAAGTTAAATTGTGCAAGGCATGCTTATGCTTGTGCTATGCTCTGCTCATGAAATATATGCGTACATATCAAGTTATCACTTTGTTGATCTCCTGTCACGTTCATCCTCCTACTTGTTGTCCAACAGAGGAAGACAAAGCTGTTACGCAGTAGTATAGTACTATTTTTTTTTCATTCCTCCTCGTCATCACTTGTGTGCATTCTCCTTCACTAGAGGTCTTGTACTTGGGGCTGGGCGCGATCTGATTCGATCCAATTTTGACCTAAAGTTATTGGGAGAACTGAACCAACCTGGACTTGTTCGCCTCTTGCGGTTTTTCAGTTTGGGCCTGAGCCCAAAATTTTATTTAGTAAAATAGGCTTGAGCCCATTTTATTTCACTTTTTTCTGTTTTCAGCCTTATCTTAAGCCCATTAAAATTATTTTTTCCTAACAGAGCTTTTGAGCATTCATTCTCTAATAGGCCCAAGCCCAAATTCATCCTCCAACAAACATTTATCACTTGGACCAAAAACGAAAAATCCGCTCTTGCTCTATGAAATTATTCAAAGATTTCAATTTGTTGTATGCAATAGTGCTTTTTCAATGAAAATGGGGAATTGGAATGGGTTGCTTTATCAAAGGAGGATTTAAGAAAGTAAAGATTTGATAGGTTTTTCACTTTGAAACGTTGTGAGAACCAGATGTAGCCTTGTGGTATATTGGGAACGTGTTAAGAAGGAAGATGAGGGATAAATTATGTAAATTAGAAAAGTAAATAAGGATATTATTGGGACTTCGTTAAAATTCATTAAAACCATCGGTTCCTTGTTTTGCTTTCCGCGAAAGCTGAAATAATACTCATCCTTTCAGCTGCTTTCCCACGGTAAGTAAGTCACATCAATTTTCTCCCAAAAGCGATTATCTCTTCTTTTACCAAATCAGAAGTTCAAATTAGTCCTCCCTTATTGATCAAAATTAAGTCATTATCTTATAGTTAGCAAGCACTAAATTTTTTTTATTTATCGTTTTTTTGTATACTTATTAATTATACAGAAAATATGAGCATTCTGAAAAAAAAAAAAACCCCTACTATATGAATATCAGTATAATGCAAATAAGAAATACATAAAACTTTTGCATGGACACACAAAAAAGCAGTTTGAAAAGCTCATTTCACTTTTAATTAATATTTCTTTTGGTTTACTTTTGGGTGCTAATTTTTCTCACTCCCCTTTATCCATTTATACTCCCTTTTATTTCGACCAGAAAAAAAAAAGCCCTTTTGTCTTTTAATACTTTTTACTATAACACACAAAAGAGTGTACATGGACAAAAGAGGAGCGTTAACATACAATTTCCAATAAAAAAGTGTAAGTGAACAAATAAGGAGTGAGAAAATTAGCCCCCTTTCTTTTAATACTAAAATTTTACGGCAAAGATTAAATTTTATTAAAAATTATGAGAATCTTTTATGTACATTGTTCTTGTTGTTGGTAAACTAGACCGAGCTTTTATGTCAATATGCATTCATGTTATTGTGTGGTGTGGTGTTAAGAAATTATGTACCACCGTTACTTATAATGCTATAAGCATCAATTTTTTCTTAATCAAATTCCATATTGTACATGGATATATATATGGTAGTATTAGGTCTGCCAGTGTGGATGTTGGCATACACGTTTGCAAATTTCTCACATGAATCTCCCCATGACTAACTAGTATGCAACTAGAGGGTGTTTGTGGAGAAAAAGCTGGTGAAAAATCAGTCACAGAAGAAGGGTAAAAGTACTACCCTAATTAACCCTAGCTTAATTATCTTTTAATTTATGTCATCATGCATATGGCATTATTTGTAAAAACAATCTTTATTTATTCTTGAACATACATATATCTTAGCGGGGTTTTACAACATATGACTTGGTTTTAATTGCGGCAAGCTTCTTACAAAAGCCTCACCTCACTCCGGAAACAAATTTCAAACCACACACTCAAACCAATTAATACTTGTTTCCTCACCAAAAAAAAAAAAAAAAAAAAAAAAAAAAAAAAAAAAAAACCACACACACGAAAACACACAATTTATTTATAGCGCCAAATAGATGATCGAGTCCCACTTAATTAGTGTCTATATTCCCTGTAGCTGCGCTGTGGAACCTTTTTGAAGATGACCCTTATGAGATCATAGTAGAGGGACAACTGGGCAAGAGCAAAAATGGTAACCGGTAAGCAAGTCGCTGCATATAATGGATATGCCACATATCTGAGGTGTCGATCAAGGAGAAAAATATGGCCAGTACAGAATGAGACTAACACGGCAGCTATGGATGCGAAGAGTGATGTTAAACCCAGCAAAAGTTTCCGGGGCAAGCTGATGGAAAAATCTTGCGCTTCGTATCGAGACGTAATAATGGTTAGAAAGAAGACCAGGGCAGTTACTGACAAGCAGAGAGCAAGCAGTGATGAGATGGTGAAGGCATTGAATGCCGGCTTGTCTTTGAAAACCGGTGAACCAGTTTTATCATCGAGTCCGCCCGGTACAGATGCTGATGTTGCGAAGGCAACTGTTGCAATGAGCGCAGCAACCACAGAGCATGATTCGGAGGTTTTGACGAGCCAATCACTGCCTTCTTTTCGAAGACGTTTGTGTGAAGTTGTGAAGACCTCCTGTGGCATCTGACCTTTTTTGTTGTAGCGAACAGAGGAACGAGGTGGCATGGAATTTTTGACAAACTGCATCCATGCACAATAAAATTTAGAGCATTTAAAACTTTATTCAAGGATTGATATCTGTTCAATTAATGACCTTATTAGTTTGAGTTAAGTCTCAATTGAAAAAGCAACCATTTAACTATTTGTTATTATCATTATAAAATTTAAGTGTTTAGTTGTATTATTCTTGATTTGTCTGAGTGATATATATATATTTCCTTTTAATGATGGTTTCCTTAAATAATTTTATTCGAGGGACACTCATTAGGGTCCCTTAGAGCATCTAAAATCATGATCCTTATTTTTTAGTTAAAATTTAGGTAAAAACACACAAAAGCTGTTTTAGGAGCTCTCTATAAAATTTGAACTCCAATCATACTACCTAGTTTAGAGAGTCATCAATATTATAATTATTTTTTAATTCAATATAATTGGTCCATCTCTATACAAAATAATATTTAAAAAAATATTTGCATTAATTAAAATTTTAAAATCTGCATAAAACAAAGCAACATTAAATGATAAGGAGCCACTAGTAGTCATTTCTCTCTCCTCAGATTTAGGAGCTCCTAGAGGTCTCCCTATTTTAGGAGGTGGATAGGGAGCATGGTTGGAGTTGTATTTTTTCCACTTCCTCCCTAAAATTTGTCTAAGGGAGTGTTTTTAGGGAGCCCATTGTGGATGCTCTTAAGAAATTTTTTTTAAAACAATCAAAACCGTCTATTTTCCAAATCTTCATTCATAGATCAAATTATGCAAATTGAAAATCATATAGAGCATTCAAAATCATGCTTTCTATTTTTTAGTTAAATTTTAGCTGAAAACATATAAAATTTATTTTAGGAGCTCTCTATAAAATTTAAACTTCAATCATGCTGTCTAGTTTAGGGAATCATAAATGCTATAACTCTTTTTTGATTGGTCCATCTCTATTATAAAGTAAAATAAAAAATAGTTTGTATTAAATAAATGTTTGAAACACTCATTAAATAAAGCGGTATTAAATTATAGGGAGCCACTAGGAGTCTTTTCTCTCTCCTCAAATTTAGGAGCTCCTAGAGGTCTCCCTATTTTAGGAGGTGGATAGGAAGCATGGTTGGAGTTGTATTTTTACAATTCCTCTCTAAAATTTGTCTAAGGAGGCGGTTTAGGGAGCCCATTGTGAATGCTCTAAGGCATATAATTGGGACCAATAAAATAGATAAATACGGTGCTTGATTAAAACAAATAAGATTATTGTTAGATATATACGTACCGTGTACCACTTGAGTTCCCACTGCATTTGTAGTGCGGCACCAGGAGTAAGCCATGGCCGATGTCTTCCACATTTAGCAGCAAGATGCAATGCATTGTTACCATTGTTGTCCACCCCACGTAACAATCTTGTGATTTGTTTCTTACTGTCCATTAGTAAACTGTAAACATGGGGTTGCCTGTTCTCGACTGCCAACAGTGCAACATTCTTGTTTTCTGAGTCCACGTCGTAAATAGCCACTGGAAATTTTTTTAGGATTGTTTCCACCATTTCACTCACTCCCATCTTTGCTGCAATTAATATTGGTGTCTTCTTATCTTCCGATTTTTTATCTTTGTCCTTCTTATCTTCCAAATTGTCATTCTTAGCTTCCGTATTGTCTTTCTTCTCTGTATGACTTGTACTTCCACTTGGCTCCTCCAGATGCAATTCGGTACGATCGGGAACATCTCCAAATTTATCTTTATCTTCTGGATCTCCTCCAGAAATTTGTACGACTTTCTTGTATAAATTACTATGCTCAACCAATTTATTCATGACCTGAGTAGCCCATATATGTCGCCTTTTCTCGTCTTGGATTTTATCTATGCTCCAAACTGCTAGAAATACAAATGATGACATTCTAATTAAAAACAACTTTAGCATGCCTGAGGGGGTTTCAAACAAATATGTGCAATTAATTTTCTTTCATTTGGCTCCTTCAAATTGAGGAAGAGCTCCTCCTCAGAACAAATGGGATTTTGATTTTTGTTTTCTTTTTTTTTCTTCTTCAAATTCTTTTAATTTTCTTTGTTTTGGAATTTGCCAAGTGTCAAAATTTCATTTTCTTTGAGGATAAGCTCGTCCTTAGTTTTAAGATGCCAAATGTTGCTCATAAATGAAAGTGTAAATTAACGAATTCACCACAAAGTTTGATAGTACTGACCGCTTCGCGGAGAACCATTGATCACGTCCAAGACAGCCGTGATTAAGTTGAAAAACTTAACACATGAGGAGTAAATATAATTGGGATGACCTTCTTCTCGTTGGTTCATACCTACAATTTGAAAAAAAAGGAAGGAAAACAATGCTAAAAAAGTTGCATATATTGAAATTAATGGGCATCCAAAAGTCAGTCTTAAACATTTTATCAATGTATTCGTAATGTATTATAATTGAATTATTGACCTTGACAAGATGCACTTTGTGCAGTTGTGATCACATAAAATTTTAAGGCATAAATATTCAGAGTTTTTATATTAAATTTCAATTTCAAGATTATCATGGAATCAATGAAAATTCAGATTCGAGGATGAGTCGACTAGGGGAGTTTGATATAGGGAAAATCAAGGGATTCTCATTATTACTGCTAAAATTTAATGTTACTTATTTATTTTCCATGTTTACTTATTAGACGAAGAAATTATAACCACTTGAAATTGAGAGAGACTATGAAAGGGGGGGATGAGAGGGAAGAGTAATAAAAGTGAAAATAAAAAGTTGAAAGTGAAAACAATTTCAAATAGATTTCAATTTTTCACTTTTGTTACTCCTCCTTTCCACTCTTCATGTTTTCTCTCAATCTCATCTCCACTCTCATTCTCATTTCCATTCTCCCTCTTTTACTTCTATACTCTGACACAAAAAATGAAAACTTAAAACTAAAATTAAAATTATCAGGGCCCTTAATTATCAATTTTCAATTTTTTTATAAAAAAAATGAAAAATGAAAACATATTTGGTAATAGATTTTGTTCTTTGTTTTCAAAATAGTGAAAATGAATTTTTTTTTGCTTGTGTGCTTCTGTTTAGGTTTATTTTCTCTATTTAAGAGATGTATTTTACAGTTTAAGGGTGGAGACACCATTCATGAGAAGTGATATGGTTCACTACAAGTTCAAAGGACTATAGTTACCCAACTTTACCTGGCATTGAGTTGCTCTCTTGTTGGGGATTCTCTGCATCTTCCTTTTTATTTCCTCTCTTAGCTAGACATAGAGAAGAGCAAATCCTATTTCCACATGATATAACTGGAAATGGAGAAACTATATTATATTAGACTTGTGGTAAATATGTGTGGTGACGAAAAAGCGACGTATAAATTGGATAAGTGACTACCACTCACTTAATTCTTGAGATTCAGAATCCCTATTGTCGATATTCCTTCCTTTTTTGCCGCGGGGACAAATCTTTTTGTCAACTTCTTGCCCTTTTAGCTCTTCAGCAATCAAACCTGAGAAATGAAATGGAAAAACTTATTCGGACAGAAGTACAATTGCAAGATATAGAGTAATTAACCAAGGTCTCTGCAGTTGTAAGATATAGAGTATACTTGTATTTTCTACTTCGTCCCTCCTAACTTTACAATTTCAGCTCCGTCCCTGAATTTACTGATTGTATGCAATACTTTTATTAGAGACTGAGTTTTTCTTCTGGAAACATGAATATAACACCCTTATAATGATCAAACAACTATATATATATATATTTTTATTTTTTTTTCTCTTCAAAAAAACAGGTACATGTATGATATACATACTTAAAAAGGTCATATCATCGTAGTTCTCTTTTTTAATAATTTTGTCCCCTGAAAGCCTAGTAATTACCAAGTGAGACATGAAACTGCCAAGTGCAAATGCATTAGCATTGTATTACATGAATTAAACATCCAAAAGCTTGATCATACCCCAAAAAATAAAAAATAAAATCGATAGAGATATTCTTACAATGGTATATGAAACGATCCAACGGTCTAAGGCGGCTACTGCTTTTGAATGCTGATGGAGTATTGGCTAGAATATGCAGGGGAGATAAGCCACTCTGATTAATATAATTTACAAGTTGTTGGTGCCACAGAATGATCTGGAATGCCAAACCTATATATTTAAAAACGAAATTAATAAATAAATAAAAAAGATATTAAGAAGTAATAATAATTCTATTTGTGCCACATTTATTGATGATTTTGCTGAAGTGAACCTCACTAATGTATATAGGACCTACTTATATTCGAGATGTGGTCAACAATGTGATGGTACAAATAACAGCACTCTTTAGGAATGGGTAGGACACACACTTACTGAAGTATTCACCGGAGATAGCTGCATGAAGAATGGTATCACCATTACTTGTCCTAAACGAATAGCATCCTTCTTCAACACAGTGACTATGGAGGCAAAGAAAAACCTTCTCATGCCCATTAAGAGCTGCCAAGAAGAGAGGGGTCTCATTCTCATTGTTGCGAGACGACACGAGTTTGGGGTTTTTAGTGGCCATTGCATGACACGTTTCCTCATCCCCCACTACAGCAGCTAAATGGAGAGGTGTGTTGCCTTTCTTGTTTTTTATTTTCAATATCTTGGATGCATTTTCTTTAAGGATCTCCAGCAAATCCAGCACAATTTTTGTTTCGCCATCGAAAGCAGCGATATGTAGAGCAGTGTCCCCCATTTTGGTGATTTCCAAATCATGAACATTCTCTGATGATCTATAGAGCCCCACAACTTTTTCCCAGTCGCCGTTCATGGCATTATCGAACAGGTCCTCCTCCACTTCCCTCCCTCTATCCACCACTTCCTCCACTCTCTCCATGTCTGGCCTCTTGCACTAGCTAGTCTAATGATTACGTGATATATATAGCAAAGAAAGCGTTTGTGACGCCACTGTAGAGAATTGTTATATATACACATATACATTCATTAATAGTGTTTTTTTTATAATAAAGTTTTCTTTTAAAGATAAAAAATTGATTAACCATTTAATCATCATACCGTACGTATATATGATTATTTTAGTGTTTTTATTCAAACCTCAGTGTTCATCCATTTATCCTTCATTAGAGTTAAGTGACTAGTAAGATATTTACAATTTTTTTTTTTTTTTTTCAAGAATGATGTTTGAAGGGAGGCTCTAAAAAATAGTTATATAGTTTGGATCATGAAATCACATTGCTGGTATATATTAAGTTATATATATTTTTCCCAAAGGCGCTTACTTACTATTATATATTTTCTGAGAAGGAAGGCATTAATTAATTGCTCTTTGTTTGTTCCATCCAACTCCTAGCGCGATAAAAACCTTGTATACCATAAAACAAAAAGAGATGGAAATAAAAGCAATCAAAAGCGAAATCGTAAAGCGCATGCTTGTGCTGGACGTCAGTTTCTCCACGTACAAGTAGAACTCAAGAAATGCGATCACGAACGGACCCAAGATCTCAAATTAGGGTAGGCTAAATACCTTACGTACATAGTTATTAAACTTGATAGTAAATAGTGAAATTCATTAATAACAAAAGACAACACCTAATCATGATGACATAATGAGTTTTACCTTTCAGAACGCATCTAGTACATAATTCTTTTCTATTTTCTACAGTATGTGTGGAGTGAAGGGGGGTTATTTTCTACCAAAAAAATAGAAAATAAGAGGGATTGTTTTCGAACAAAAAATGAAAGCAGTATGAGTTGTTTGTGTTTGGCCTTTGGCCCCTTTTGTACCAAAAAGAAAAAGAGAAAAAAAAGGTGAAGGGGGATTATGAGAGTGCATGGCTATTCATTGGGTGGGATGGGTATGTTAGTTTAGGCTGAAAAAAAACAAAGTCACTGGTCAAAGAGTAGATCCGTCTCTGAATGTGACTCATGAAATACGCTGGAATAACAAGTTATCATTGTGTTCTCCAGTCAAGTCAAGTTGATCGTACTTGGTTGTATAAAGTAACAGGAAACTTCAAAATGACGACGTTTAAAGTCCTAAGCCAGCTAGCCCAATTGTACCCAAAAAGCAATCAAAAGCTAAATTGTGCAAGGCATGCTTATGCTTGTGCTCTCGATGATACTCATGAAATATATGCTTACATATCAAGTTATCACTTTGTTGATCTCCTGTCACATTCATCCTCCTACTTGTTGTCCAACAGAGGAAGACAAAGCTGGCACGTACTAGTATACTACTTTTTTTTCATTCCTCCTCGTCATCACTTGTGTGCATTCTCCTACACTAGAGGCCTTCTAATTGGGGCTGGGCCTGGTCTGGGTTGATCCAGTTTTGAATTTAAATTATCGAGAGAACCGAACCAATCTGGACCTGTCCACTTCTTGTAGTTTTTCAGTTTGGGCCTGACCCCATTTCATTCCACTTTCTTCTGTTCCATTAGAGCAACTCCACCCATTTGCCCTTAGAGCAGTTCCAGCCACACAGCCCAGCCCGAGGGGAGGGGGAAAAAAAACAAAAATCCGTTTCCAGCCATGCAGCCCAGGCCCGGGGGGGGTGTGGGACCCACCAACCCGGGCCGGCCCGAAGGCCACGCTCACCCCAGGCCCAAC